TAGCTTATTCGGTATCAAACGGACAAATCTTGCCAGGCCCTATTAAAAATGGGCTGAATATTTGTTGTACAAGTCCCATAGCTGTTAGAGTTATTTACAACTTTTTGGGCTACCAAGGATACATAGGTCCATAAACCTTCTACACAAGGACAAATATTTTAGTAAATATTTGACAATGAATATATGAGAGTCCATATAACACTCATGTGGAGTTTACATATATTTACATTTAACATTAAGCAAAATTAGCATTAATGAACATAAATAATTAAAAGTAATGTTATTTATAGTCTTACATATAGTGCATGTTTCAACACTACAATTGTAATTGGAGATAGTCAAATAGTCATGCTACACCTACACTACAAAATTCATTAATTAAGTTCTTAAAATATACAAGTATTCCCTCTTATTTTTAATAAGTGTCGTTTTGAGAAGTTGCACTATTATTAAGATTATTTTTTTTCCAATAATAACCCTTATTAATGAGGATAAAGATGAATTTTTTGAGAAAAGATGAAGAGTGAATATGAAAAGACGGAGTGCATTTATTAGTTAGATGATGATAATAATGAAAAAATATGTACAAAATATTCAAAACGACATTTATTTGTTAATAGTTGATAATGTCAGAATGACATTTAAAAAGAATAGGAGGTAGTATTTGATTTTATATACATGGACATCTATAACTAGAATTTTATAAGTTACACGTGTGTATAAAATATTTAAAATCATAAAAAATATAGTGTACATTTCATAATTTATAAATTTTATCATTAGTAAAAATGAACGGTATAAAATATAAGCTATATAATTTGCATATGATCAATATACTTATTACAATATAATTTTTGCAATGTTGAGTGATTTGCCTACAATTAAAATATATCTATATATATATATGTGACAAACGTTGATTATTTGTGCAAAAATCCATTTAATTAGCATGTCAATCATAGTTAATAATGTTAGGTTGGATTTGTAAAGAAGGCAAAAATCTGTAATGAAAGATTCGCTGGCTTATAATCCGCCTTAATTAGAGGTACGCCTCTCCTAATTAATTATACTGCAATGTTGTTTATATATTCCATTCAAAGATAATCGTCTTTAATAAAAAAAAATGAGTAAACCATCATCCACGTGCTCATTATATTGGTCATTATAAAATTCACTATTTTTCAAAGTAATTACAATTAAGCGGGGATTAAATTGTAAATAATTAACTAAAAAAAAATGTAAAATCGAATTGTGTATTTTACTATTTTTTGAATAGTGCAACACCTTTACAAATTTCTAGTGGTACGACTGAAGCAAACAAATTCATTTTATACCATTCATATATATAAATTTTATTTTTAAAATCACACATTTTTGTATCAATATTTTTTACATAACGATATCATTTTAATTATCTTAATATTCTTATAACATATGTATGAAATCTAATTTCCTATCTAATCACAGCCAAAATAAATAAATAAATAAATCCAATCACGCATGGTCTTTGAAGATTTATTCTATTTTTAGTGACAGTAAATTAACCAACGTAGTTAACGTACGAGGAGACACAACGTGCGTCGTGTACATTTATTAACGGCATTTTGTGTTTAATATAAGGTTTATTTATTTATTTATTTATTTTTTGGGTGCAAAAAAGGAGGTAAGGTTTATTTAATTAAATTATGGTGCTTAAACACCTAAGTGTACAGCGGTCAAACTTTGGGAAATAAAACGAGTCTCGTTGACCCTAATATATATAAGATGGTGATGACTCGTCACACAAAAAGACAAATAAATATTATATTTAAAATAGCGATATAAACTTCGAAACGCAACCTATTAGCAACTTCTATATAAAATCATATTCAAAGATTTGAATCACATGTTTCGTATTTAATCATTTACTAGTTTGATTTACAATCTCCAACTTATATTATAGGTAAGGCACTTACGTGAGTCTTCGAAATGAAAATGTACTAATAATTAAATAACTAAATAAGATTTAAACTAGTGAAGCACAACTCGTCAATTAAACGAGATATAGAGTCATAGTAATGAGTCTAGATCGAGTCTTAACAAATCGTACTTGAAATTTAACGGGCGATCTATTAAAAGTATATATGAAAACTTTATAGTCTCGAGCCATAATGAATCGCGCACATGCTATAAACATGCCCGAGTTCTATTAGTTTATTAAATTAGTCGACTCATGTTCGAACTTTCCTGAAACTTATTATTTAATTTTACAGAATGATTTTTATTACATAAGCTAATTTTTCAGCAATTAACAATTATAAATTCAAAATTTATATGTACATTGCCAGCTAATTTACGAGCTAACTTGTCATCTAACAAAGTACATACACGATAACAAAGAATGAGTAGCAGCAATAATTAGAGGATAAAAGGTTTTTTTTTATTTAAAAACTGAATAAATCATTAGAGGACAAATAATGGAAGATTGAACAAGTAGCGTAAAATACAAGCTAAAATCCACCGAAAATATCCCCAAAACGCGTAAACGCTCGGCACGTGCCGGTATCTCATTTAGACAGATCTCCGCCGTCAGATTCCCAACGCCGATGCTCCGATTGGGCCGACTATTTTAGTCCACGTGCGGCAGACAAGAATCGCCCAGGCCCAACAACCGCGCATTGGATTACGGGCTGATGTCGACATGGGGCCGGATGCGAGTAGGCGTGGCCCCTTTTTTTTCTCGCAAGTTCATATGGGTAAGACGTGGTGGTTTTACGGTTTTGGATTGGATGACTCTGAACAGTCCCGAATATATGCACGGATCAGCCCAGTGTAATTAAAAAAAAAAATTTAAAGTAATATTTTTTAATAAGAAAAATCGGACTGTCGGTTCCAATTTCGGTTCGGAACCGGCCCAATAGTTCAAAAATTACAAATATGCAGCCCAAAACTAGTCTGGTCAAACCACGCGCTTGGTTCAAGGCTCGTTGACCACGGGACGTTCGGGCTGACTGAGGGATTGAGTCGTACGGTCATGTCTACATATTGGAAGTGTTTTTATTAGCTACATTTATCGTCCCATTCGTATGAGTATATGTAGATCGAAGAGACGGTTGAATATTTTTTATTTTTTTTTTCCTTAATCAGTACTATCATCTTTTACCAATAGTTGAGGTAATTAACTGGCCTTAGATTAATAGATTAATTAATGAAGCCCCATTAATCTTAATATTGGATTTGGTGTTTCACTTTTGCGGATTTATATATCCATGTTGATATGCCTCCCACGGAGGCTCCCTTTGGTCATTTCGAAGGGACATCCACCTTCTAATCCATTGTTAATTAATTAGCATTTAAAAAGTATAATAATTGCATCTTTAGCTTAAGATTAAAAGAAGTGGTGATTTTATTGAAATAAAATTTTATGATAAATAATCATGTGTTAGCCATATATGTATATATATATAGATGGTTTAAATATAGTAAGATAATAATAGCATATGAAATTAACTAAGTCCAACGTTAATATAAAATGTTGTTATATGATCAACCTAGCTCAAAGGTAGGGCAAAAAGATTTATATTCAAAAATCGAAATTTGTAGAAATTTGAGCCTTTCACAGCCCACAAGTTTTAAAATTTAAAATTAGTTTATCCGAAAAAGACTGGTTATAAATTGGCTCAGTGTTAGCAGGCAAGCAGGCCCCGGCCCCCTCGATTTTAACAATTTATTTATTATTATTTTGAATGAGGGCCAGTAAATATCAATCACACTATTGAAGATAATTGTGTGTCATATTTAGTTTATATTCAATTTAATTGATCTGTGTCATGCTCTATTCCGGTTGAGCTTTTTTATATCCACGTCCTTTTCATTAAAATCAAAGTAGTAAGAATTAATAGCTCTATTGGCCTCTCAAATAAAGTTATAAATATAAATAAATTATGTAGCTAATTAAAAAGCATAATATATACAAACTTACCACTTTTTTTTTTTTTTTTTGGGTAGTCAGCAACAGTATCTGGAGCTATGCTCTGATTAATCCGTTGGTCGACCTGGATTGCACACCTGACAATGGTGGGTGAGTCTCACAACAAGAATTTTCTACATTCACAAGGACTCGTATCCGAGACCTTGCTTAAGCGACATCAAACTGCTTATCTCATGTTGGTTACAAAATTACCACTTTGAAAACTTGTTTTACGCTTTTCACACGACTATATGTATGCAATATGAATCGATATATGTGTTCATATTGTGTTCGTATTCATATGAATCTTATTTGACAATGAATATGAAATATTATTTATTAGGTTTTCTTGAAATTTGATATGGTTTGTAAAATTTATGAATCAACTCTCTTCTTAAATTTTAACAGAATTTGATATGAATAAAATTATTTTTACATGTTCAATGGTTTAAATATTTTCGTAATATTTTAAATGCATAAATTTGTAGCACATAATAAGGGCATCTCCAATGGTAATAGCTATTACTAGCTATATAGTCAGCTGACATGGATGTGAGAGATAAGAAAAATAACTATTTTACACTATTGGACCCACATACTCCTCTCACATAATATTGGGCTACGTGAAATAGATAAACTATTTGTTAGTAGCTAGTGACTACTCTCTCTCTTACTTTTCCCCTGTCCACGTCATAATAGCTAGCCAAATAGCTAACCATTGGAGACACCCTAATGGGAGTTTTTTTTTTTTTTTT